TGCAGTATGCAACTATTTGTTTCGAAATTGTTGTTTCTAATAAAACTGGAATATTTTCTGCATAATTTCGATTAATTGATTTAATTTCATCATCTAACTGAATAGAACAACTCAATCTTAAAAAAAATATTTTTTATAATGTAAAAATAGAAACTACAAAAACCCCTCGAGAAAATTTATCTAGCAAGAAATGAAGTTTTTTTTTGTTTTCTTTACCAACAATGGAGTGTCCAAATATCGTGGAAATTCCTCAAGTACCATATTAGCTGTTGGCGAATCATTTCGAATCCACATCTGTCAGCATAAACGCGATTTGTTCATCAATTCTACAATTTCATTTCCATTTCGGTCTGTATAAATATATGCATAGTATGTATGCATGTATGCATTAATTTTGTCTTTATTAAACCATACTCTTCGATGTTCATTTCAATTGGGTTATCTTCAACACTATTAAGCCCATTACCTAACAATAACAATATATTGCTAAACAAATTATATTTAATGAACATATAAAATAAAAAAATATATATAAATGTATCAATACAATTGTGTTTGATGAATTTACTGTTAATGTTTTAAAATTTATCAAATGTTTAAAAAATATATTTTTTAAAAGTTATAGAAAAATACTCAAAGTATAACTATACAATTATTCAATTAACTAGGCAATAAAAAATTGACATCTTTTTACTTCGACATTTACTGCGACAGCTATATTTTTTTTATATCTGCTGGATAACGACGATAAATTTCTCTAAAACGATTAGTCAGAAAACCTTTTGATGTTCCTGGACTGTAGTATAATTCCTGTTTAAAAAAAAAATATCTGTAATTAGAAAAACATAAAGAAACTTATCAAAATAAATCATATAGTATTATTTATTAGTGCACTAATAAATTAACTAATAAAAAACAAACAAATCTTAAAATTATCATTACAATGAATTGCATTAATTATACTGCAAGAAGATAATTTGTTGAGGCATATATATATTATATATATATATATATATATATATATATATATATATATATATATATATATATATATATATATATATATATATATATATATATATATATATATATATATATATATATATATAGTTATATAGTTACCATAACTAATTTAACAACATATCTACATAATCATGTATTGTGATAATATATACATATGAATATTATTATAACACTTACTTTCCAAAGCAATTTTAAGTAAGAGTAAGTAAGAGCTGGCTACTTTAACAAGGAGACGATGCAAGCGATCATCCATTACAGTCTTTTGTGCCTCAATAATAATATTATTTTTTAAAGGGTGATTTTCAATTGCATCCAGTTGACACAACCTAATAGAAGAAACCAATAGATGAGTTTTTTAATTCATCATGTAGTCAAAAAGTATAAAGCTGTATATTACAACTAGAATACCCAGAATCCTTTCGCAACAATATTAAATTTTTATTCAAAAACTTACATGAAATATTTATACAACTTGAAAATTAAAAAAAAGTGTAAAAAATGTGTATAAGTTAAATATACATAATAATATATTATACAATAATAAAATATAAAAGAAGTTAAACTACAATAAAATAATAAAAAATTACCATCTTTTTTGAACCACTTGACTTGGTACATGCAACATGAGTTACCACAGCTGTTTCTATAGTATATCATAAATTATATTCAAAACTGTTACTATATTCAAGTCACATCAATAAAAAATGACGAAAAATTGGATTAACTTTTATTGAAAATAAATTGGATTAACATACCAATGAGGCTTTGACTTTATCATTAAACAGGATTAGATTTTGAACATGCTAAAGCTGCTTCTAATTTCCGTCTCTTAAGAGGAGGTAGCACATTAGCCAGATCTGTTTCAACATTCAAAAACTGCAAATCCTCCATTGAACTAGCACCTAACTCCACCATAAGAGGTCAGAGACGATTCTTAAGTAAAGTTCTTCCACTGGAAGAACTTTACTTAAGAAGTTATTAGTTTCCTCCATTATTATAAAAAATCTTTATTAAAAGAAAAAAAATAAAAACATTATCCCTGTTTGAACAAATATTGCTTATGTAGAATGACATTATCAACTAAACTAAAGAAATACATAATTTAAAAAAAATATATTTGAAAATGAGAACAATTTTATATGAGAATCAAATAAATTGTTTATTTTAACAGTTGTATATTTAGATGTTTTACAAACATTATACCCAGTAACAGGGATGCGAAGTCCCGAAAAGGATTCCAGATTTAAAAGTCACAAAAAGATTACTTCTTCCTAGTTTTTTGTATCCAAAAGCTCTAAAAACATAAAAAAGTTTATGGACTTATAATAGAAGAAAAAAAAAACTTTTAAGTAAGGGGAACAATTATTTTCAAACCCGGAGTCTTTAGGTATCATAGATGAGTATTTGACTTTATGAAAATCTCGGAAATTTTTTTTCTATGATAATCCCGGAAAATCCCGGAAAATTATTTTATTAAAAATAGATCGTATTTAACTGACAAACGGAATTTAGATTATTTAACTTTTAACAAAAAGAGATTTCTAATATTCGAAAAAGTTTGAATGAACTAAAAGCATTAAAAAAAAAAAAAAAAATTGTTACAAAAATTGATCTCGTGAAAATTTTAATTACAGAAAACATATTTGTTTAAATGCAAAAAATGTCGTGTGTAAAATTTTATGTAAAAATATATTAACTTTTTTTCAAATAAATATCAAAAAACATCTGGAAATTACTGGAAAAATTAAAGGTGTTTTAAGTGAATTTCCGGAATTCCAAGAATTTCCGGAAAAAACTCATCAATGAGGTATAATAGCGGCAAGGACTCCGGGACTCCAGAACTCCGGACATAAAAACAATAAGTTCCAAGTCATAATATCTTATGAATTGTTTTCTTATGGCAGATCAGTCAACAAATATGTTTAGAACTTCTGGACAATACAGACCTGAAAAAAATAAAGATATAAAGCAAGAGTCCTTTTGGGACTCCGCACCCCTGCCCAACAATATGAGTATCATAATGTATGGTAGAAAATGTTTCAACTATAAATGTGCATTTATTTTCATTATTATGAAAAACATTAATTAAAAGTAAGAAAACAAAAAACATTATTCGTGTTTGAACGAATAATGTTTTTTGTTCTAAACAAATACATAATTTAAAAAAAATAAATTTGAAAAAGTTTTGTAAATATTTATTTATTATAGTTTTTTCTTTATGCTAGTATATCCAGGTTAATATATTCATGTCTTGTTATAACAAAACCTTCTTCAGAATACTTTCTAAAGCCAGTTGACAATGACAGTACATGAGAATCAAATAAATTGTCTATTTTAACACCTTTATACTTAGATGTTTTACAAACATTATACCCAGCAATATGAGCATCATAATTTATGGTTGAAATATTTTCAACTATTAGTGTGCATTCATTTTCACAGATAAGTAGATATACAATTTTTCCAAAACGTGGAAGACAAATTTTGGTCAGCCCTAAAACTACAGTAAAGTCTGGCATGTACTTTACACCATCTTTGATTACAAAATTTGCACAAAAGCACTCTTCATATAATGAACTTTCACAAAAAACAGACATAGGCAACGGTAAGCAAGCAGGCATAATTTCAAGACCAGGACCTACTTCTAAATTGAATATACTAGCAAAATTTAAAAAATCAAGATGTAATTGTATTTGCTGACGCGCCGCAATACTTTTGCAAACATTTTTAAAGTTGCGCAAAATGTGACACTGCTCCTTTGCAGGAGCATGTTTACCTTCAAATCGCACACACCAATAACTTAGCGAAGGTCCTAATTGTAAAATTTTGGTGGGATAGTGAACAAAAAAATGTTGTTTTGGAATAAAAGTATGTCCAGAATATATTTCTGTAAACAAATTGTGATGAACGCTAATCACCTCTGTTAAATAAGTTATTAAATGATTAGCCAATTTTGGAGCAAAGATTATTCCACATATTTCCAATAGTAAATGAATTAAATGAAAATACTGGTTATCAGTTTCTACAACATCGCCAAGCAACAAAAAAAAAATCTCCCTAAACACCAACGTTGAGTTGCATTCATACCTAACTTTTTGTCTTTAGAAACAAGTTTTTCACGTGTTATTGGCAATAACTGTTTTTTTCATCAATGCCGAAATTAAAAGTTAGCAGACGGTCATTGAATTCCTCAATGGTCAAAAGGCAATCAATTAGTAATAAGTGATGAAGAACTATTTTTAATTCATACTGTAAACAACCCTCAAGTATGTCATGCATTGAATCTGGGCAAATGTTATCAGGAACGGAAAAATACCTAAGCTCTGACAAGAGATTTTGTTTATATACACCAGACAATTTAAAATATTCAGTATCACTAAAAAGTACTTGACAATCGGCAATGTGATGCTCTTTAGTTCTTAAGTCTACATCTTTTTCATAAAAAGTGTGTTGCATTTGTTCTTTTGTTGTATAGCAGCAATGGCAGCTCTTATTAGCATTAAAGTTTGAACTAAATCCGAAAATCTGGTGCAATGCAAGTTTATCCCCAGACCGCATAACTACTGCACCAAATATGCAAATGTAAGTTCCATTTATATACAATTGAACTCCTTTTTCTAGAGCTAACAAATCCTTTGCTAGAAGCTTTTCATATCCATACTTTGCAACATCAGCTGAAAAACAATAAATTATATTTTGGCCAATTTAGAGCATCTTTTTGTGTTAACATTTTTAAAAACAAATTAACAGCACAAACTTTGTGAACTTTAATTTTTGAACCTAAAGGGTTTACTGTTTTTTTCCCTTTTTGTTGTAAGTAGTTTCTTTGCAAGTAACTAGATGTAATTAAAGTACATTTTACACACTCATATTCAATATCATTTAGCACATCATTTACTCTGCCAGCATCGGCTTCATTATTGAGCATTGTTTTTTGTACACTTTCAATTACTGTGGATAAAATATTTTTATCCACATTATTTTTTAACACTTTTTCCTAAATACTGAATTACAACTTCAGTTGTGTTATGACATCTAAGAGTCATTAAAACATCTAAAATCATTTCTTTTATATTTTCCTCGTATAATACACCTGAATAAATATTACTAGTGTTATCTTTATCAACATATGCTGCTGTATAACTACCTTGCTGATCTTTTAGCTCATCATTCCTTTCCATAGGAGAAATATTTATACTTTCATATTTTGTATAAGGATTACTTGGATGCTTTCTATACAAATGAATTTTAAGGGCATGGACACTCTCATATGTTCTGCAACAACCACCTTGTCTGCAAGGAATTTTACAATTTTGTGTTGAAGAAATACCATGACGATAATGAAAATGTTTTAAAAGATCACTTACAGTCTTTAATGAATTTTAAAATTGACAAAATACACAAAAGTAACCCATTGTTTCTTCTAATATTGATAAAAATGTTAAAAGTAAAAAGTTCAAACGAAAAACTTAAAAATATTTGAACAATTTTCAAATGATTCAAAATTTTACTACTTCACCATTTTTTTAATTTTTTAATTTTTGAAAAACTTTTAACACATACCTTGTCAGCAATAAAGTAGAATTTGCATTTAACGCATGCGCTTTAGAACGATGGTAATAAAATTTAACATTAACTTGTGTTAAATGAAAGCATCACAGGATCAAGTATTGGTTTTCAACACAATGTTTTTTACAGTGTACAATAATTATATTAATTTCCATATTTATATGGAAATTATTAATTTATTAATTTCCATATAAATAGTGAAACTAATAATTTCACTTACTCGTTGAAAAATATACCTATACTAGATAAAAAAAGTTGTACTATTTCTTTGATTGAAAAAATTGAGCATTTTATTAAAAGAATTCGTTGAAAACCCATTTTTTCTTAAAACCAAAAACAAACACAATTAATGTATTTAACATAACCAAGATAATAATAATTATGGATTTAAAACAAAAAATAACCCAATTTTTATACCTGATTTGGAAAATGACTTATTGCACTTATTCAAAACAATAAGGTTTCGCCCTATAATAAATGAATTTCAAACAGAATCAAAGTTAGATGTTAAAAAAATTAAATCAAACCCTAATATTTTGGTTTTGTTTATAAAACAAATACCACTTACCAACTCACAATAAAAAACTATGAAAAATTCTTATGCGACAATATTACTAGTTCTTATGAGAAAGCCCCTAAAAATATGGAAAATGCAATTAATTTAGAAGCGAAAAGTATTGCTAAAAACATAAATCTTAATAACAGAATCTAATCAACTGCCCCTGCCCAAGCCTTCATAACACTAAAAGACCATCAACCAAACTTTCAAAACAAACTTCCTTGTAGATTATTGGTTTCCTCAAAAAAGTGAGATTGGACATGTAAGCAAAATTAAATTGGACAGAATTAATAATATTCTTAGAAATACAGTAAACTAGCAACAGTGGAAAAATACCACTGATATTATAAATTGGTTCTCTATAATCGAAAATAAAAATGACTGTACATTTATTCAATTTGACATTAATGATTTTTACCCCTGAACAACTACAGATATTTTAGATAAAACAATTGAATTTGTGAAAAGCCACAAAAGAAACAATCCGTTAAAGTAAAGTTTTCCTAAAAAATTTTAGAAAAACCTTACTTTATTTTAATAAGGAAACTTGGATAAAGAAAAAACATACGTGACTGCTTTGACTTAACTATGGGCAGTTATGATGGAGCAGAAATTTGTGAATTTGTTGGACTATATATTTTAGATTTAGAAGTAAAATAATCAATATAAATGATTAAGGCCTTTATCGCGACGATGATTTAATAGTAATGCGTAAAAAATCTGGTCCACACTTCGATAAAATTAGAATAGATAATATAAAAATTTTTAAAAATATTGGTTTTCAAATCGAAATAATCATAAATTTAAAAATTGTGAACTTTCTTGACGTCACATTTAATCTCCCTCATAATTCATTTAAGCCTTTCAAAAAACCAAACGATGAATTATTGTATATTAATATCAACTCAAATCATCAACCCCAAATTCTAAAACAAATTCCAACTTCAATTGATAACAGGCTAAACCAAAACTCCTCCAATGAAAATGTATTCAATTCCTCTAAACGAATATTTGAGGATGCCATTAAAAATTTTTTACTAAAGTTTTAAAAATTTTGAACTAAAGTTTGACCCTGAAATAAAGAATACAAAAAAGCGAAATAGAACTAGAAATTTAATTTGATTCAATCCCCCATATAGCAAAAATGTTTCCACTAACATAAGTAAATTGCTTTTAAAATTAGTCGATAAGCATTTCCCCCCCCTCTAATAAATTACATAAAACTTTTATTCAAAATACAATTAAAGTTAGCTACAGTTGCACAAAAAATATTATAAAAGAATTATAAAAGGTCACAATAATGCTTTGTTAAACAAAAAAGAAATCCTGAATGAAAAAAACTACAGAAAATTCTAATTGTAAACAAAAAAACAATGTGGTATATAAATGTCTTGTTTCCTCTAAGATACGAAAAACGTTTGACGTTTGACCAAAAACACCAAATTTTCATAAATTTTACTCTCTTATATCTTTTTGTAAATTTAATCAAGCACCTTAACGTGTTTTGCATCAGTTAGCGTTACTCAACCTCTTTCCAGCCAAATATAGAAAGTACTATGCATCATATGGCTTCACTTAAATATTATTATTATCTTGAGACCACTTTTGCCGCGGACACAATTTTTTCAATGTAGCTTTTGAAGGTAAGGTTTCCTAAGTACTAAAACACATCCAATCTGCGTGAAAATGTCTATATAGATTAAAAAAAGGATGATGAATCGAATGGAAAAAGAAACCTTATTCAAATTTATACAAGAATTTTTAGTTCTCAACGTTTATAAACATTAAGGTCGATTTAGTTAAATAAAAAAACTTTTTTAAAAAAGGTTTCCTGTCCAAAAGGCAAGTATAGCCTTTCCTTTCTAAATCAAGTATTTATTTATGTATTCTTGAAGATTTGATGCTTAGGAAAATTGTTTTAAAGTTATGTATGCATTATATGCTTTTTTTTCGCGTATATAATGACGTTTTTGCTTTTGACTTTTGCGTTTGTTTACTAAATTATAAATAAATTTTTGGGTTTGCTTTATTTTTTTTTTTTTTTATATTTTCTCTTTATCACCCGGTAGTAAATTACAGGTAAAATAATATTTAAATAGTCAAACAATAAATTAAAAATCAGCTAAAACAACACGGCTCTTGTAGTTGTTAGCAATAAATGCTTATAAACAGCCGGTTTGTTTTCCACATATTATTGGGACAGAGTTCTAGGAACATTCTCCTCCATCAAGATTTTAAACGCCTCTCTCTTTTCTTTCAAATTCCAAAACTGGAACGTTTCTTTCAATATTAGCATAATATTAGTTTGTAGCTCTACGATGGGTTGCGTCAATTTAATTTTTTTGCCATTTAACATGCACTGTATGAAATTTAAATCAAGTGTGTTGCATGCATCAAATACTTCATTTGTAAAGGATTTTTTATTCTGTGTTTCCTGTATTTGATTAATTATCAGTGTGTAACAAGTTTGATTTTTCAACAGCCTGATAATAAGATTAACTTTGTTCCTAAGGAGAATAGTTGAGATATCTTCTATTTTAAAAAAAGAATGAAGGTAATTTTTACTGTACTTCGAAATACAGAAAAATGATTTTAAGACTGCTCTTCCAACAACGTCTATTTTGCTGAAAAAATTAGTATCATATTTACATAGTTCAAGACCATATATAAGCACTGTTAATGTATTGTACAGATGAACAATTGTTGATGGCTGGCAGTAACGAATCCCACTGTCGATTAGAGCTTTTGCAACTGATTGAAACTGAGTTATACGCTCATTTAAATTTTTCTTTCGGAGTGTTGCAATTTTATTTTTGCTGGTATCGTTATCCCATTGAAAACCCAGATGTTTTAATTTATTTTGAAGATATATAGAAACTCCATTAATTTTAACAACGTTGTTAGGAATATAACTTTTTCCAGAAATCAGAAATTCTGTTTTCTCAGTGTTTAGCTTGATAAAGTTTGCTACTCCATATGTTTGAAATCTGTTAATCAGTTCCTGCAGACCAGAGATTGTGGGGCTTAGCAAAATTACATCATCTGCGTATGCAATTACACCAGTATAAATTTCATTTATTGTCGATCCTACTTTACATTCTGAGACATTTTCATTTAGGATGCTTTCAGTATAAATGTTATATGAATGTGGCGATAGAATAGACCCTTGTCGCACCCCTTGTGATAGACTGAATTGGTTTGAGGTAACACCTTGATAGGATATGTTTGCAGAATCAGAATGATAAAGGGATGATATTGTGTGTACTACAGACAATGGAAGTTTTTTTTGGAAATACAGCTTCTCAAATAGCAAATCCCAGTTGCAAGTGTCAAAAGCTTTATTAGCATCTAAACTGCACATATATAAAGGCGTGTTATTGTTTTTATAGTGCATAACAGTTTCGCTCAGTAAAAATTCTGCGTGGAGAGTAGAACTGTTTTTTTTAAAACCAAATTGATGGGAATGGCTATCTGTTATACTAAAACATATTCGTAGTATTAGATACTCTAGAAGTTTAGTAAAGATAGGTAAAATACTAATTCCTCGATAATTATCTGGATTATTAAGAGATTTTGTATATGACATAACAAGTGGAATAATTGTTGAAGTTGATAGATCATTTGGTACTTTTCCATTCGATAGAATACTGTTATAAAATTTAGCGAGCCACAAAAGAAGATTATTATTATGAGAGTTTTTAAGGTGTTCAGCACTTAACCCACAGCTATCTGGGGACTTATTACTATTTAATTGTGAGATGCAATTTATAATATCAGCTGATGTTATGATTAGTGAATTAGGCTCTTTACTTAGAGATAGAATTTGAGAAGGATTATGATTATTATTTAAAATAAGAGGCGTATTGAGAAGAGTTTGAAAATGTTGTCTAAATTCTTGAACGATATCTTTTATATTTTGCGATTTGTTAATTGTAAATAATCGAGTTGTTGCTTTAGTTTTGATTTTACGGATGTTATCCCAGAACCTCTGAGGATTAGTGGTTCGAAGATTTTCAATATTTATAGTTTTTTCGTGAATCTTTTTGTTATGAGCTTTATGAAATTTGATAAGTTTTTTTTTTTTTTTTTTACCTTATTTTGAAACTTAAATAGTACCTAAATAGGGCGGTTCAATTTATAAAAATGATATATAACTGCTTTAAATGGTATAAAAATCTTTGTTCTTTCCATCATTTTTGTTTGTTGTTCAAAACAAAAAAATTTCTTATTCACATCCTTAATAAGGATTATTTCTTCTTACTTACACCCTTAAATTATTTCTTATTCACATCCTTAAATGAGGATGTTAATAAGAAATAATAAGGCTTTATGAGGATGTTAATAAGAAATAATCCTTATTAAAGCTTATTAAGAATTATTACTTATTCACATCCTTATTAAGCTTTAATTTAAGGATGTGAATAAGAAATAACTGAAAGATGTGAATAAGAAATAATCCTTATTAAGGATGTGAATGAGAAGATTTTATATTTTGAATAACAAATAAAAATGATGGAAAGAATAAATATTTTTAATAAAAATTTAAAAGGATATTTAAGGAATAATGAATATAAATAAATATCCAAATATATACGGATATAAATAATTAATTCAAAGACCTTAAATTAACTACTCACTTCCTGAAATTAATAATTATATATAGCCTATATATTAATAATATATATATATAGCTTATTAAGGATAAATAAGGATAATAAATTTCACTTTCAACTTCATATTTTGAATTCGAATAAGGACCTTATTTGAATTCTAAATATGAAATTATAAAGTTAAACTCTTAAACTGTTAATAAATTAAAAATAAATAGTATAAATTTTTAAGGTTCTCTGGATTGGACTCTGGATTGTTTATCAAAACTGTATGTTGGTTTATAGACTATAATCTATCTATTCAATAGACTGATGTGATTACAGATAGGCTTTCTTGAAAATGTTTTTTTAAAAGAAAAAATGAAAAATTTTATCCACTTCGAAGGTTTAAAAGTGAAAAAAAAATGGAATTGTGTAAGAACTTATATCTTGCACGGAAAAAAACACATACTGAAACTTTTTAGTCCTTGTGTAATAAGTTTTAGGTAATAACAATATATAATAGATCACGACCGAGAGATAATCCATTGCAAAAAAGGTGGTAGCTCTCTACAAGAAGTGGTCCTTTCCCATAAAAAACACATCAAAGAAGAAAGCCAAGGAATGTCAATTACCAATAAATTAGATAACAATGGTTTGTGTCCTGCCTGTAAAAATACATCATCAGTAACAGAAAATATTCAATGTTTTGTATGCAATCCAAGTTTCACGTTGCTTGCCCATCTATTCCAAAAGAAGATAAAGTAGCCAGCAAAACCACAGTTTCAAATTTCTTTCTCCCTTCAACTAAGAAAAATGTTCTGTTCTTTTGTGATGTATGTCTAACCAACCTAGAAACAGATTTATCTAAATCTGAAACATTGAGGCTGAATACTCTAGAATGTAATGTTACTGATATCAAAACTCAGCTCAATGAAATAAAACAACTGTTAAACAAAAAATCAAGTGACACCAAATCAGAAAAAGATAGTTTATGGTTTAACAAGGAAAGATTAAATACAGTGAAAACTCCAACCCCAGACTTCCTTTTAGTTATCGGAAAAATATCTGAAGAAAACACAAACAAAAATAACATGGATATAATTGAAAACATAGTTATGAATAATAATATTCAATTGAAAAATTCGTATCATAATAAATCAGGGGATCTTGTCCTAGTATGTAACTCAGAAGAATCTAAAGACCAATTGCTGAATTTTCTCAAAAACACGAACAATCAAATAAAAATAAAATCATATCAATTGAACATGCAAAAAATTATCATCAGTGGTTTACCTAGATAGTATAATGAAAATGAAGTTGTTAATATGCTACACTCACAGAACAGTTTTATCCAAGAATTTAGCAAGGTGAACAACATCAACAATGTTTCAAGTCTTTGCGAAAATAAGCAAAACATTACGAGAAGGCTTTCAATGTTATAAAAACAAAGTCACACTCGGATTAACGTCCTGCAGGATAAATGACAAACTCAAAGTAATACGTTGTTTAAACTGTCAAGGCTTCGGACATTATGCGAATGAATGCAAGAAAAACAATCCAATATGTGCTAAATGTAGCGAAAAACATCGAACCAATCTATGCTCGCCTTTGGATATAAAATGTGTTAACTGTGTTTTAGAGGGACAAAACGATCACTTTCACTGTGCATTTGATATTAAATGTCATTCTCTTGAAAGAAAAAAGAATACTTTGAAAGAGAAACTCGATAGCAATCATTTAAACGCCAAGTCCAGAAGGATGATAGAACTTACATGAGTCATATATTATGCTCACTATGGAATGTTCGTTCTCTTATTAATAAACTTCCAGATGTAATGGAGCATATACTTGATAGGAATCCAGACATTTTTTCAGTAATAAAAACATTCAGTTTTTTATTACTGAAAAATGGATGACTTCTGAAAGCAATAATACAACAGTAATGATAAAAATTTATGGATATGTTTTCATAAAATAAGAATAGAAAGAGATAAAGTAAAAGGTTGGCGGTGTAGGAATTATGCTAAAACAATCAGTTATGCACAAACAACTATCGAATAAACTGTTTCAATCCTTTGAACATGTATGTGTTAAAATTATGGTAGCAAAACAATCACTAATTCTAATTTGCATATATAGGCTAATATTTGTTTCTCACGCAACATTCCCGGACAAATTCATGGTTTTACTTGAAACAATAGTATCAACACGTTGCGCATACATTATAGCTGGTGATGTAAATATACACTTAGATACTAAAGGACTATATAGCAAAAGTTTTAAGGAATTACTAGATGCACTTAATTTTAAACAAAATGTCAAAGAACCAACTCATAAAATGGGACACATATTAGATGTAGTAATTAATAAGCCAGATGAAATATCAGTTATTATGCTAGCTGTGACAGACTTAGGTTTGAGTGACCATTTTCTCATTGACTTTAAATTAGAGCAAAAAATAAAAAAAAACGCATACCACACATACATCACATACAGGAATTTAAAAACAGTAGACATAAAGTCTTTCCACAATGAAATTTTAAGAAATAAATTGAAAATCTCATCCGCTGAAAATATGAAAAAGAAAATAACAATATATAATCAAGTAATGAAAGAAATTGTACAGAAACATGCTCCTTTGAAAACTAAAATAGTAAAAATAGTGAATACAGCTCCTTGGTTCGATGGGAAATATATGCAACTAAGGCCAAAACGAAGAAAAGCAGAAAAATTATTTAAGAGAACTAAAATTGAAAGTGACAAAAAAGAATATATACGCCTCGGAAAAAAAACAACAATTATTGCTTATATAAAAAAAGAACGTATTTCTCTAACCTATTTCATAAAAACACCTCAAGTAAAAATCTATTCTCAATGGTAAACAAGCTACTAGATAAAACTCAGGAATATGTACTTCCATCAGCGGATTCAGACGAAGAACTGGCTAACAACTTCAACAATTGTTTTACTGAAAAAATCAGAAAACTCAGATCAAATCTTCTAACACCCCAAACAAAGAAAAGCGCATCAGATTATAATGGTAAGTTTTTAAGAAATTTTGATCTAACAACTTACGAAGAAATTTACAATATAGCCATGTCATTCGGAGTAAAATGTTTTCCATATAATCCCATTCCAGCATATCTACTAAAGAATAGTTTACAAACATTTATACATATATGGGTGGAAATAGTAAACCTATCGCTAGAATCAAGCAGCATGGATTGTCTAAAAGTGCTACATTACTTCCAATAATAAAGAAGTTATACTCTGCCACCACAGATACAGAAAACTTCAAAAATTATAGACCAGTTTTCAATTTAGTATTTATTAGCAAGCTAATAGAAAGAGTAGTTTCCAATCGTCTAGATTCCCACATGACAACAAACAACCTTCATATAGAATATCAATATGGATACAAAAAACATCATTCCACTGAGACACTTTTGCTGAAGCTTACCAATGATATATTTGAACTCTTTGATAAAAATACACCTTCAGTACTAATGTTACTTGATCTAAGTGCTGCTTTTGACACTATTGATCAACAAAAATTACTTGGGCTATTAACTAGTGAAATAGGCATAATGGACTCAGCTCACAAGTGGTTTGAATCATTTTTAGTTAATCGTACCCAAAATGTTAAAATTGGTAACTCAAACTCTACCAACCAAAATGTCAAATATGGAGCACCACAAGGTACAATACTGGGTCTAAAACTATTTAATATCAATATGAGACCACTGTACAAACATCTCAACATAATCAATGTTAGAACTTTTGGATACTCAGATGATCATCAAACTCTCAAAGCATTTCTTCCTTCTTCGCAATATAATGCATTAGTTCTGGATATACCAGAATGTCTTCGACACATATCTTAATGGATGAGCGAATCATTTTTATGCATTAACCAATCAAAAACAAAATTATTAATTTTGGCACCACTTAACATTCAAAAAGATTCTATTATTAAAGGTACTTTTGTTAACAAGGAATGCATTAGATTTGTTGACTCCACAAAAAGTTTGGGTGTGATACTTTACAATGAGCTATCTTTGAAAACACAGATAAATAAGATTGTGAAAAGTTGTTACAATATAATCCGTTAAATATCCAAAATAAAACAATTCTTATCGCATAAAGATTTAGGCATCATAGTATGTTCATTAATTTTTTCACAGCTAGATTGTTGCAGCTACCTCTACTTTGGAAATGAGAAGTCACTATTAAAAAAAACTGCAGTCTGTCCAAAATTGTGCAGCAAGACTAGTATTTAAAACCAGAATAGAAAACCAAATAAATGACCAGGTATTTATCAATTTGCATTGGCTAAAATTAAAGAAAGAATTTATTTCGAGGTTTTATTAGTAATGCACAAGTCTATTATCCAGGAAGTTCCAGCATCATTGTATAATTCGATTCACTTCTTAATGTCAGAGAGAACTCTGAATTTAAAAGAAACAAAATCCAGCAATCGTTTTGGTAATCGGGCGGTATCCCACTATGATCTTAGACTTTGGAATATTCTTCAAAGTATCATTCGAGATAAAAATAACACAACTATTTATAAGAAAAAACTAAAATCATATTTAATAGGGAATAGCGAACTATTCCACCAGAAAACTCTAGAATATTAAAAATTATAAAGCAATATAATAATTTATTGCACAGCTGAGCAAGTGTTTTCCCAGCTTACCTTTTATTTGGGTAAAACACAGTAGCTGTGGGTAAACCCATGTGTTTATTTATTTATTTCATAAGTTATAAATTTGAATTTCTACAATTTTGAATTAATTAGACCTACTTCTCTTGATTTTTAACATAAGCAAAAAAAAACATTTTGTATTTTAATACTTTTATTTATTGAAAGCAAATTTTATTGATCCATCACTTATTTTTTTTGTTTTGAGTTACTCTTATTTAAGTTTACTTTTAATTTTAATTTCCAAATTATTGCTGGAAAAACCATTTGATACTGCCAAGAATATATTGGAATTTTTAATTATTGAAGGTGGTATTGTTTCCCTGAAACACCCAAATTTTGTAATAAGAAATACACACTTTTTACAAATTTGCTGAGAAAATAATGAACATGACTTGACATGGCCAAATCTGTCAGAATTCTTTACAAATTACTTTAAA